TCATTTATATTAGGGTGTTCAGGGCTATGTTCCCCTGGATAACTGGGTTCTGGAGATGCCATATTGCTTTGACTTTTGTTGGTCGTGCTTTTGTTCTGCCCTCTGCCCATCTGGATTTCTTGGGTGTTTCCTGTTAGTTTCTGGTGCCTGCTGGAATTCTGTGGTGAGGAGCATCCCTTTGGCAGGAAGATGTTTGTTCCTAAGGGAAGCCTCCTCAGCTTTTTGGGTATGGTCATCGAATGGCCCGTGCTTCTCAGGGAATTGCTACAGCTCACCTCAGATGTATGGACCTGTGTAGTAACTGGGGTTGTGGGTCAGGGGGCTGTCTTCTCACCTGGAGACAGCTGCCCTGCCACTGGGTTTTTGCTCTGAATTTAGTGAGTTGCTGCTGCTGCTCATACACTGTGTTTGCTGGGCAAAGCTCTCTTGAAGAACCAGGAAGCCCCACAGTTTGGTCAGTTTAGCTAGGGAGATAGGTTGCACTTTGGAGCAGCAGCATCTGGGGTCTGATCCCATGGGTCCCAGGTGTCTGTAGATCTGAGGTTGGAGCTCTGTGCCCTAGTACCCAAGTGTTAATCAGTGGCAGTTGAGCACAGCACACAGGCATGTGGCAGGAAGCAAATGCCTGGGCCTGTGGGAACCCAGCAACTATTTCGAGGATTAGCTGGGTGTCCTGAGGTCCGGCCTGATGTTTCCTTCACAGTGGGGTTACCTCTCAACAGTTAGATCCAGTCTGTTATGAACTGTGGGGTCCACAGTTCAGTCTGCTATGTTGATTAGAGAGCATGCTGGTGCAAGTCAGTGGCTCTGTGCTGGCTACTGGGCACCTGAAGGAATCAGGAAACTTCCTGGAAACTTTTGGCACTGGGTTAGCCGGGTGCCCTGAGGTTGCACCTGATGTTTCCTTCACCATGGGAATTCCTTCCGACAGGGAAACCCAGTCTATGGTGTTTTATGGCCCACAGTTCTCTCTGCAATGGTGAGTTGGTTGTACAGGCATGTGGCTCTGGGCTGGCAGCTAAGTGTTTGCTGGATCCTGCGACCTTTTCCAGGGATTGTCTGGGTGATCTGAGGTCAGTTGATCCTAACTGCTTCCTTCACTGTTTTTGTTTTATTTTTATTTTTATTTTTTTCTCGACTGGAAAACCCAGTCTCTGGTGTTGTGAGGCTTATAGTTTAGTCTGGAATGGTGATCAGAGCACACAGAGGTGTGATTCTGGGCTGCCAACAAAGTACCTGCTGAGACCCAGGAATTCTTCAGGGGTTTAGCTGGGTGACCTGAGAATGGACACGATTGCCTTCCATACTGTGGGGTTTCCTCTCATCTGGGGAACACAATCGCTGCTGTTTTAGGGTCCCCACTTCAGTCTGTTGGTCATTGTTCAGTCACTGCTATCCTGCTTGTCAAACAGTGTCCTCTCTGCTCTGCCATCTTGGATCCCACTGTCAAAGTGCTTTTAAAAGCGGGTATAAAATAGAATGTTTTTAATACCTGTGTGACAGGACTCAAGAACTTCACTTTCTTAATTAAATTTTTATTTTTTTATAAATTAATTACAGTTCATTCATTTTGTATCCCAGCTGTAGCCCTCTCTCTTAATCCCTCCCCATCTTTCCCTTCCTCCCTCATTTCCTCCCATGCCCCTCTCCAAGTCCACTAATAGGGGAGGTCCTCCTCCCCTTTCATCTGACCCTAGCTTATCAGGTCTTATCACTACTGATTGAATTGTCCTTCTCTGTGGCCTGGCAAGGCTGATCCCCTCTCAGGTGGAGGTGATCAAAGAGCCAGCCACTGAGTTCAGATCAGAGACAGTCCCTGTTTCCCTTACTAGGGAACCCACTTGGATACTGAGCTGACATTGGCTTCATCAGAGCAGGGGTTCTAGGTAATATCTATGAATAGACCTTGGTTGGAGTATCAGTCTCAGAAAAGAGCCCTGTGTCCAGATTTTTGGTTCTATTGCTCTCCTTGTGCAGCTCCTGTCCTCTCTAGGTCTTCCTATCTCCTCGTTCTTTCCTAAGATTCGCTGCAATCTGCCCAAATTTTGGTTATGAGTCTCAGCATCTGCTTTGATACACTGTTAGGTAGAATGTTTCAGAAGCCCTCTGTAGTAGGCGCCTGTCCTGCTTCTTGTTCTCTCCTTCCTCCAATGTCCATCCCATTTTTCTTTCTGAGTGAGGACCCAAGGTCCTCCTTCTTGCTCAGCTTCTTCAGGTGTACAGATTTTAGTATGTTTATCCTATATTATATGTCTAATATCTACTTATAAGTGGGTATGTACCATGTGTGTCTTTCTGTTTCCGGGATACTTTGCTCAGGATGAACTTTTTCTAAATCACACCATTTGCCTGCAAATTTCATGATTTGTTTTCCATTGCTGAGTAGTATTCCATTGTGTAAATGCACCACAATTTCTGTATCCATTCCTTAGTTGAGGGGTATCTGGGTTGTTTCTAGGTTCTTGCTATTATGAATACAGCTCCTATGAACATGGTTGAGTAAATTTCCTTGTTGTGTACTTAGGCATATTTTGGATATATGTGTAGGAGTGGTATAGTTGGATCTTGAGGAAGCACTATTGCTAATTGTCTGAAAAAACGCCAGATTAATTTTCAAAGTGGTTGTACAAGTTTACATTCCCACCAGCAATGGTGGAGGGTTCCCCTTTCTCCACATCCTCTCCAGCATGTGTTGTCCCTTGAGTTTTTGATCTTAGCCATCCTGATGGGTGTAAGGTGAAATCTCAGGGTCATTTTGATTTGCATTTCCTTGATGACTAAAGAAGTTGAGTATTTATTTAAGTGTTTCTCTGACATTCTATAATCCTCTACAGAGAATTCTCTGTTTAGTTCTGTATTCCATTTTTAATTGGATTACTTGATTTGTTGCTTTTTAACTTCTTTAGTTCTTTATTTATTCTGGATATTAGACCTCTTTTAGATACAGGGTTAGTGAAAATCCTTTCTCAGTCTGTAGCCTGGTGTTTTGTTCTGATGATAGTGTTCTTTGCTTTACATAAGCTATTCAGTTTCATGAGTTCGCATTTATTGATTGTTGATCTCAGAGCCTGTGCTGTTGGTGTTTTGTTCAGGAAGTTGTCTCCTGTGTCAACGAGTTCTAAGCTCTTCCTCACTTTTTCTTCTAACTGATTTAGTGTGCCTGGGTTTATATTGAGGTCTTTGATTTATTTGGACTTTAGTTTTGTGCAGGGTGATAAATATGGGTCTATTTGCATTTTTCTACAAATACACATCCAGTTAGACCAGCACCATTTGTTAAAGATTCTGTCTTTTCCCATTGTGTGGTTTTGGCTTCTTTGTCAAAAATCAAGTGTTCGTAGGTGTGTGGGTTTATTTGGCGGACTTCTATTTGCTTCCATTGATCCACCATTCTGTTCTATGCCAGTACCATGCATTTTTTATTACTATTGCTCTGGAGTACAGCTTGAGATCAGGGATGGAGATACCTCGAGATGATCTGTTGTTATACAGGATCGTTTGGTATTTCTGTTTTGCTTTTGTTTTTGTTTTTCCCTATGAAGTTGAGATTTTTCATTTCAAGGTCTGCAAAAAATTGTGTTGGTATTTTGATAGGAATTGCATTGAATCTATAGATTGCTTTTGGGAAGATGGCCATTTTCACTATGATAATCCTACCCATCCATGAGCATGGGAGATCTTTACATCTTCTGATATCTTCTTAAATTTCTTTCTTAAGAGACTTAAAGTTTTTTTTTAAACAGGTCTTTCATTCGCTTAGTTAGAGTCACCCCAAGATACTTCATGCTATTAGTGGCTATTGTGAAGGGTGTTGTTTCCCTAATTTCTTTCTTGGCCCTTTTGTCCTTGGTATACAAGAGGGCTTCTGATTTTTTTTTTGAGTTAATTTTGTATCCAGCCACTTTGCTGAAGGTGTTTATCAGCTGAAGGATTTCTCTGGTTGAATTTTGGGGGTTGCTCAGGTATACTATCATATCATCTACAAATAGTGATACTTTTACTTCTTCCCTTCTGATTTGTATCCCCTTGATCTCCTTTAGTCGTCTTATTGCTCTAGCTAGGTCTTCAAGTACTATATGGAAGAGATAACAGAGAGTGGACAGCCTTGCCTTGTCCCTGATGTCAGTGGGACTGAGGAACTTTACATTTATTATCTCATGAAAACAACCACTTAAGAATTTTCATGTTTTGGAAAAGATTAAATTAAGTGGGTAAATCAATGCCTGTATTTGGACAGCTAATTTATGTTGTATCCTGGACTCAAGCATACAGGTGTTTGACAAAAAGGTTAATAGATATTGTTGAAAACTCTTAAATGCTAAATAGAATTATATAGAACTGAAAGGCCAGAATAGGTTTGTAGTTGCACTCTTAGTTGCTTTACTTAAGGACAGAACCAATGGGGATGAATGTCTTTGTATTCATACACCATGTGGGCATGTAGAGAACATATCTAGGATTATAATATCAAAGTTGTCTTTGATAAATGAGTAAACACTGATAAAAAAAACAACAGTGCTAGTGGAAGATGTCAAAAGTAAAGCACACATACTACTCCTTCAATAGTCAATTTCAAAAGATCATTGATACTGGAAGGATCAATACAATTGTATTGGCTGAAAGTATTTGGCTCTGATTCATCGATTCAAAAATGAAAATATTTTTGAATTAAGAACGATGTGCTCCTGTGCAAAATTTTTACTTACATCTATGTATTTATTTGTGTGTTGGGGTATCTCTCTCTCTCTTTCTCTCTCTCTCTCTCTCTCTCTCCACACACACACACACACACACACACACACACACACACACACACACACCATACCTCTCATGTTATATGGAGGTCAAAGAAAAAAATAGAGGGAATTAGTTCTCTTCTTCCACCATGTGGGTCCCAGGCATTGATTGCATGTTGCCAACTTTGCAGTAAGTGACTTTACCTACTAAGGCATTTTATCGGTCCTCTCCTATGTTTTCAATATTGCCCTTTTTCTTACCAGGAAGCTGAAAAATGAAATTTTAGAAGCAAAGAGAAGAAGTGGAAAGACTCAAGAGACCAGTAGAGTTTGTGTTCATTGTCAGAAGAACCTTGGACTCATCTTTGACAGAGGAGATCCATGCCAAGCCTGCTCACTCAGAGTGTGCAGTGAGTGTCGAGTCACAGGCCTTGGTGGCAGCTGGAAGTGCACTGTCTGTGCCAAAGTCGAGTGAGTTTCCCGCCTTTCTGTGCAAAATCCATATTTGCATGGTGTATATGTGGTGTGCAAATGTGATATGTGTGTGTGGTATGAGTGTGTGGGTGTGGTAGTGTGTGTTTGTGAATGTGAGAGCGTATGTGAGGTGAATGGTGTGTGTGTGTAATGAGCGTTGTGTTTGGTATGTGTGTGTATGTTGTATGAGTGTGTGTGGTGTGTGTGTGAGAGAGACAGTGAGGAAATTTGAGACAGATAGGCACAGGGACAGAGAGACGGAGGAGTAATCAGTGGGAGAGAGACAGATAGAAGCAGATAGGGAACAGAATTAAAAACAACCCAGAAGCATAATAAAATTGGAGGCCTAATGGATTAAGTTTCTCCCTGTATTTAAAAACTGGGGATGTGTTTTCTTCTCTTGATCCTTTCTAGATACCATATTGCTTCTCCAAAGGCATAGATAAAATTCTCTTGACATTCTGAAACATTTTAGATAACTTGCAAGAGAAGCATCAAACACCCTGTGTGCTGTACACATCAGCTAAGGTGCAACACTGGGACAGTTAATGTTCTCCAGGCCTAGCTGTTGATCAAAACAGACAAAGGGAGGCAGCCTTGCCATTATGTCTTTGTTTAGATCAGTGTCTGCCAATCTTCCTAATGTGATATCTATGCAAATACCTGTGGTCTTAGATGACCCCTGTGAAAAGGTTATTCAAACCCCAAAGAGGTATCAGCCCACAAGTTGTGAACCATTGCCCTAGAATGTTGGGGTGAGGTTCTATGCAGGCACCAGCCTGACTTCTTCATATGCAGAGATATGTAGATGTTGTCTTCAGCAGTGGGGCCTTGCTATCAGTTTTCAGAGAGCAACCTACTGTCTTTGAAATAGCCTGGGTTGTTTGGGGATTTCCGATAGACCCCTTTGATCAGTGATTCTCAACCTGTGGATGGATCATGACCCCTTTTGGCATTTGAATATCAGATATCCTGCATATCAGATATTTACATTGGATATCAGATATTAAATCAGAGTTATGAAATAGTAACAAAATAATTTTATGTTTGGGGGTCACCACAACTTGAGGAATTGTATTAAAGGGTCACAGCATTAGGAAGGTTGAGAACCACTGCCTTTGGCAAACAATTCAATTGGATGTAACACAGTCCCAATACTGAAAGTTTCATTTGTTGAGGTGACCAGTTTGAACTCTGTCTTTGTCTTAGTTACTACTGCTTTGATGAAACACCACGGCAGAAAGAAAGTTGTAAAGAAAGGGTTTGGGGGCTTAAACTTCCACATTGTAGTCCATCACTGAAGGAAGAAATGAGAGGAACTCAATCAGAGCAGGAACCTCGAGGCAGGAGCCGATGTAGAGGCCATGGAGGGGTCTTGGTTACTGCCTTGATCCCTGTGGCTTGCTGAGCCTGCTTTCTTACAGAATACAGGACCACCAGCCCAGGGATGGCACCACCCACAATAGGCTGAGCCCTACCACCTCAGCCACTAATTAAGAAAATGCTTTACATTTGGCTCTTATGGAGGCATTTTCTCAACTGAGGTTCCCTCTTTCAGATAACTAAAGCTTGGGTCAAGTTTTCATGAGACTTGCCAGCATAGTCTCCCTCATTATTTGACGATTTTGATAAGATCAGCACCTTCAATATATTTTAGGAAGTTTTCACCACATTAGGTTTCCAAGCCAGCCCTCAAATGCCCCTCAATTCTAGCTCTTTTCACACATTCTTTCCCTCAATCCCTTATTCCCTTTCTCTACATATCTGATCCTTCTCTTCTTTCCTCTAGTCTACCCATAAAATCTATTCTAGTTCCCTCTCCCAGGAAGAACCATGACTCCACTCCTCCACTCTCTTCCTCTATACTTAACCTCTCTCAATTTACAGATTGTAGCTTGCTTATCATTTATTTAACAGCTAATAACACATATAAACAATTACATTGTGTAGTTATTATTCTGGACCTGTATTACCTTCAGATGAGTTCTGCTTGTATCCAGCTGTCTGCACATTTTATGATATCATTTTTAAGAGTTAAGTAATACTCCCTTGTGTAAGTATACCACATTTTCTTTATTCATTCTTCTGTCAAGGGACATCTAGAATTTTTTTCCAGCTTCTGGATTTTATGAATGGCGCAGTGATTAACAAGGTTGAGCAAGTTTTCTTGTGGTAAGAGAAAGCACCCTTTGGGTATATGCCCAGCAGTAATATAGCTGGATCTTGATGTAGATTGATTTTCAACTTTTTGAGGAACTGTCATATTGATTTCCATAGTGGCTGTAAAAATTTGCACTCCCACTAGCAATAGAAATTGATGATTGTTCCTCTTATTCCAGATCCTCATCAGCATGAGCTCTCACTTGTGTTGTTGTGTTTAGCCATTCTGACAGATGTAAGAGGGAATCTCAAAGTAGTTTTGATTCACATTTTCCTGATGGCTAAGAATGATGACCATTTCTGTAAGTGTTTCTTAGCCATTTGAGTCTCCTCTTTTGAAAATTTAGATGTGGTCCCCATTGTTAATGGTATTATTTGTAGGAGTCTTTTTGGTATCTAGTTTGAGTTCTTTATGTTTTTGGATATTAGTCCTCTATCATATGTAGAGTTGGTAAAAAAAAAAATACCCATTCCACAGGCTGCCATTTTGTTCTACTGACAGTGTCCTTTGCCTTATAAAAGCGTTTCATGAGGTCCCATTTGTTGACTGTTAATCTTAGTGCCTATGCTATTGGAGTTCTGTTCAGAAAACTGTTTCCTGTGCCAATGAGTTCAAAGCTTTTCTCCATTTTCTCTTCTATAAGGCTCATTGTAACAATTTTATGATAAAGTCTTTTATCCACGTGGAGTTGAGTTTTGTATAGGGTAATAGGTATGGATCAATTTGCATTCTTCTAAAAGCAGACATCCACTTTGACAAGATCCACTTTGTTGAAGATGTTGTGTTTTTCCATTGGGTATTTCTGGATTCTTTATCAAAAAGTAGGTGTTCATAGGTGTATGGATTTATGTCTGGGTCTTCAATTCAATTGTATTCACCAACATGTCTCTTTTTATGCTGATATCATGCTGTTTTTATTACTTTAGTTTTGTTCAGCCTGAAATTGGGAATGGTGAGCTCTTCAGGACTTCTTTTTAATGTTCACAGTTGTGTTCGCTTTCCTAGTTTTTGATGTTTTTGTTTGTTTTCTACATATGAACCTGATAATTGTTCTTTCAAGATATGTGAACAATTGTGCTACAATTTTGACTGGAATTGCATTGCATCTGTAGATTGCTTTTGGTAGGATGAGCATTCTTACTATATTAATCATATAGATTCATGAGCATGGGAGATCTTTTCATCTTTTGCTATCTTCATTTTTTTTTTCAAAAACTTGAAGTTTTTATCATACAAGTTTTTCTCTTGCTTGGTTATAGTTATCACAAGGTATTTTATTATTTAGACTTTTGTGAAATGTGTTGTTTTCCTGATTTTTTTTCTCAGTCCTATTGTAATTTGTATAAAGGAGCACGGCTGATTTTTATGAGTTAATTTTGTATTCACCTACTTTGATGAGTGTTTTTTATCAGCTGTAGGGGATCCCTGAATGGAAATTTTATGGTCACTTATTATGTTATCATTTCATCCATAAATAAAGATATTTGACTTCTTCCTTTCCAATTTGTATCCCCTTAATCTCCTTCAGTTGTCTTATTGTTCTAGCTAAGACTTCAAATGCCATATTGAATAGATATGGAGGGAGTGGACAGCCTTGTCTTAGTTCTGATTTTAGTAGAATTGCTTACACAATTGAACTCTTAACTCAAAACTCCAAGGATTGATGAGAAATTTCTCAATACCTATTTCTCCGGTTCTTATTTTTCTTTATAATTCAATATCTTAGTTTCTGGATTGATACTTAGAATGCTTTCTTTTCCTCATTTTCCTCTTATCCCACTTCTGTTCATTCTCTTTTATAGCCCAGACCCTCGTTTACTCTGACTAAAGTGTATAAGAGCTAAGACTCAAAAACCCTTTACTATTACATGGAGCCTCCAAATTCAATATAGAAAGAAAAAATTCATTTTATCTATACTAGTTATAAGTACCATATCACAAGACCTGTGGCCTTAGGCTTTTTTCAGTCAGTTCATTTACTAGATAATATAGATGGTACATAAAGGTCTAATTAACTAAATCATTTCTTTGAAAGACAGGAATCAGATTCTCTTCAGATTATATTAAAAAGAAGTGAACTCTTGATATGTTGACTTGAATTTGAAGATTGTTACAGAAGTTGGCCTACCTAAAATGAGTGAATCCTTTCCTGTGTTTTTCAATTAGAACACATTTGCTACATATTTCACTATTTATCTGATTCCTCATCTTTCTTCCTCTACTATAATATATGCTTTCATAACCATGACGACAGGAGAATTAAAAAAATCTGTGTTGTTTACTGATGATGTCCTCATGCCTAAAGCAATGCCAGAAGTAGGTATTATGTCTATATTTGTTAAATGAGTAGATGCATGGATGAGCAAGACAATGAAATGATAAATGGATGCATGAATGTTTCCTACTTAAAGCACATCAGGCTGGAGTAAAAGGAAAAATAGAACAAATATAATTTTATTCTATTGGAAACATGAAGTTGAGAGGAAAAAAAAAAAAAAACAAGAGCCATGTACATCTGCTCTTTAACCAAAGTGAATATCTTCCTATCCCAGAAAAAATACATGTTATTCTTAGAAGATGCACACATAAATATTAAGATGTTGAGCAGGATGCTTTGCTTAGGAAGTATTAATATATTAATAGAAAACTTCTCAATCAATTCTTATTGGTGAAACATTACCTCAGTCAAACCAACCATCTATCCGTCTAATTAATCTATTCATCCACACACCTGTTTATTCCTCCTACACATTTGTTGTTAACATATTGGTATAACATGGGCTAAGATACCAGGGTAAATGAACATGGAATGCCTTCAGTGGCTTCACAGTCTAATGTTAAAAAAATATTATTATGCTATTTTTTAACAGATCAAATGAATTCTTTGTCATTCTAGATATCTTAAAGAAAAAAAATAGCTTTCAATGTGTGATTCTTATACTTCTTTAGCAATAATTTGTTTATTGTTATTTTTCTGAAATAAGTGAAAATCTACATGAGTATTTAATATATCAAAGTTCATGCTTACTTTTCTAGCTGAAAATCAATTAATAATACTTCTGTAATATTTAAGCTAGTAGTTTGTGTGTCCTCTGAGACTAAAGCTTTCTGTATTAAAAATAACCTGTTTGCTATTCATGGAGTGGTTTTCAATAAGGAAGAATAAATGATATTTTATTGGCAGTGAATGTCCTTTGTGATAAGGGAATGTCACAGCCCTACTGGGCTGTCCACATGTTTAATAGACCATTAAATTAAAATTCCCACCCTAACCTCTAACAGATGAGATGAGTCAGAAATTGAGTCATTCTCTAATCAGTTAGAAGAACAACCTTTATTATCATTTACCTTGGACAGGGTTTTATTTCTGAAACAATGAAATGCTTCTAGCAAGAATTGGTAGAGGGAGGCTGCTCCCTTTGTAGCTAATCCATTTCTGCTATTGTCTCTTGCTAAGTTTAAGATTTTTGCTTTTTTGCCTGTGAGTGATTTGCAGTTTCACTATCATATGAATAGGAGTTTCTTTGCATTTTTTTCTGCTTGGAAAAGAAGGAACCTAGACTCATCACCCTCTCTATATGGAGAGAGTGTTTGTGTTTCTCTCCTCAGTTCTTTCAATCCTTAATAGGTCTGACGTATAAAAGGAATTCAATAAATATGTACTATATAGTGAATTAATTTATAAACAATAAATTTACATAGCTTCTTTGTAATTAACAGATGAAAAGTGTCTTACTGTATCTTATAAAACACATCTTAATACAGGTGTCTCCAGTGTAAATAAATAACAAAAATACTTTAGTTACTATGTCTTTTTAAACAAGATTACCTACTTGCCCTATTCCAAAGAAATCAGAACTTCTTAACATTTATGTAAATTTCTGAGTGAAGGAAACTTACAGAAGCCTCAGATGTTTAATATTAAATAAAATCTGAATCTAACACTGTGATAGTCAGCAGCCAGTGTTCACAAACAAGTGTGGCACACTGGAATTTCTATCTTCTAGGTTCAACTTAGAGGAAACAGTCATTTCAAGCCTTGAGTTTTTTGAATACTACAGTGACATGACAGACAGATTGAAATCTTATAGTGAGTGCCATTATTTATTACTCTTCCACCACTTCTTTATTCTTGATACTTGCCTCCCAGTGTGCACACATTCATTTGAAATGCTAAGCACTTTCATACATCTTCACCCCTCATCAAAGCCTGGTTGTGGCTGGGAAACATGAATTCTCTTCTGATGATATTGCCAAATGGAAGGGGTGTGAGACTTGGACTATGAATGTCGTATCTACCATCATATAACTTTGAAGAATTTGTTTAACCCATGTGAGCTTCCTAGTCTATAAAGTAAGGACTGTCATTGCTACCTGACATCTCATAGTGAGGATTAAAGATAGCACACATAAAACTGGATTACATTAGTACTTATATGAGTTTTGTATTGATAGTAATCTTGAAAGAACACTCTTAGAAATGAAAATTTCACAAATATTTGTATTTATAGTATATGATGAATAAAGCTGACATTTTTTCCAGTATAAACTTTATATTTGGGATTTTATCGCTGATTTTAAAGTACAACTTGTTGATAAATCTCTATACAATGCTCTGGAGCTAGAACTCTTTATCTGGTTTTTAGTTGCTTTTCTTTAGCTACCATATCAGATTCACCAGTCTCATCCTTATGATACCTTGATTTATATTTTATCATTTCTTGTCTTGTGAACTAAAGTAATTTTAATTAGTTTGCTAGTCTCTCACATCTTTTTGTATTTCTCCAAAGACTGTATCAGCTAGTGTGAACTTTAGAGTAAGTTTTCTACTCCATAATGACATTTCTCCTTGGCATGGCATCCAAATGTTGCTATTACATATCCCAGGCCTACATCTCAGCCTCATTTTCTACTGTAACACTCTAAAAATCATTTACCCCAATAATACAGAATTGATTTCCACCCTCAGTTCATGTTTTTCTAAGCTATTTCTTCATGTTTAATTAGAAATCATTTTAGAGGACTAATGAATTTTATGACTCTTCTAAGTCTTTGTTGTAAATTTCAACATGAGCTTTATAACAGTGCAGCTACTATGGATTGAATTCCAGTGATCTTGATTCATTTCACAAATATTTACAAACCACAGTACCAAATATTACTGCTAGAGATGGTAAACAAATGAGTCAAGGCTCCTGCCTTCATGTCACTGATAATGAGGTTTGTGGTGAAGATATGAAAAGAAGTTAAAGTCTTAAAATGATGGAGTAGCCATTCATTCAAGTAAAAGTTATAACTTCAAGTAGAGATTAATACCATTTCTGTGCAATATGTGCACAATTAAAATACCACAATAAATTCCATCATCTATGTAACACATGTATGTTAGTATATTTAATAAAAAAGGAAACATGACTTGAGGACACAGTCCATAAAAAGCCTAGTATTATAGTACTACAGGTGGAGAGTTTAGTTATATAGAGATTGTCTCTCAGAGAGTTAACAGACCAATAGACATGACTTATAATCCTAAGATAAAATTTAAAGCTCTGAAAGCAAAAATGATCACAGACATTTCTAGAAGGAAGATAAAGGTGATTTCACATAGCCATTATAGGTCAGGCTCAAAAGATGGATAGGACTTGTCCTGCTTCATTTTCATTGTGATAAAACATTGACCAAAAGCAACTTGAAGATGAAATGGTTTTGTTTAGTTTTCATATCCCAGAAATAGCCCATCATTGAAGGAGGTCAGAGTATTAACTCAAATAGGAGCCCAACCAGGAACCATGGAGGAAAGTTCCTTACTGGCTTTCTCTTTATGGCTTTCTCAGCTTTCATTTTTATATAACTTAGGTCCTAGTCTCCAGAGGTAACACCACCCACAGTAGACTATGACCTGCTGCATCAATCATCTGTCAAGAAAAGGCTCAAGGACAATGGAGGTAGTTACTCACTTGAGGTTCCCTTTCCCAGGTGACACAGTTTGTATTAAGTTGACAAGGAAAACCAAACAGCCCAGGCTTATTAAAGTATCCTTTCACATCTTTAACATACAATTGATTACAAGATCTAGGAAGGCATTTCTAACATGGGGATTTATTTCCTCCTCTGTATTAGTTTTCCCCTTGCTCTGGAATGCATCCATCAGCATTCTCCTGGAGTACTGTGATAGTCTTTGTTCTGTTCTTTTTTTTTAGCCCAGTGTTTAAAACTGTCTCTTGTTGATACCTTTATCTTATATGGAGCCTTTGATTGTTCCTCATTTCCCACACTGAATATCTTGTATCCACAAGTCAGTATTTTTACATAACTGGTTTTTGAAAGTTACCTTTGTAGTTAAATAACTTATTTTTGGAATCTTTCTTTTGCTTCATGAGCAGGCAGCTGAAGTTTATAAGTGGAGAATGGTTTTTTGAAGAAAAGTCAAAACGTTTCAAGCACGTCAATGTTCTCGGCACTGATGTTGTGCGACAGTCAATTTTAAGAAGAAGTCCAGGTAACTAATGCAGTCATGTGTCTTCAAGCATGTAAGTTGTCACTCGGTTGGGCTAAGTAACTTCCCTCTGGTCATGTGGCATGTGAACACAGTTGGATTTTTTTCCCCTTATTCCCTTAGGTCATTTCTCAACTTGGTAGCTTGAAATCTAAATCTGAAAATTATACAAAGGAAATCAGCAGAAAATAAGTTTTGTGCTGATTTCCCATATATCTGACATGCTGAGATTTTCAAAGGTGCCACTCATCGTCACCATAACAAGTTATTTTTCCAAGTGCATTTCTAATGTTTCACTAAACAATTCACTAAACTGTTGGAGAAATAAATGTTTCCCATTCTGAAAGCAATTCTTGATTTTCCACGAAGTTTAATTTTAGATTTTTAAATGATATTTTTTAGAAAAATCTAATTCTTAGTTCTAAACAAGTGGGAGCATTAGGAAATTCCAGGGAACATTTTTGATTGTCATAATGCTTAGACTGAATCAATAGAATTTACTGGATAGTAACTAAATATGATAAGCTAGTGGGTTTAAAATATGCAGGAAAATTTCAGTCAACGAGGAATTATACTATTCCCAATTACCAAGAACAACCAGCTTGTGATTGCTTTTTAGTGTACTCAAAATACAGTGTAATTGGTTCAGTATTCAATTAAGCTTTCCTGAGTGCATATTTCCCATACATAGTTTATATAATAAACATGGGATAAATATCTTTTGGTCTGGGAAGCATGCAACTGATTCCTCTGTCACTTTTGGGTGTGACACTCATAAAGAAGTGCTCCTAAAGATGAGTACCATCAAGTCTGATGTTAGAAGAGTCAGGTTGAATAAAAATTATCCAGTCAGCTACAGCCTCTTCCTACACTAAATCTCAGAGAATTCCAGGCATAAGACACATGCACACATGCCTGACATCTCATGAAGTATGGCTGTCATGTTCATGATGTCTGGCCATGGTGTACTGTGGCACACTTGTGTGCACTACCACTGGGAGACTGAACCACAGGGGTTATATACTTAAACCTGGGATATACAGTGAGTTCTAGACCAGTCTTAGGATTAGATTGAGAACCTGTCTCAAAAGAAACAAAGAAAAAAAAATACCTGTAACAATAATTCCTGTAGTCTTTGGATTTAGAGATCTCTTGAATACAGCATTTCCTACCCTAAAATTATCTGTAGAGGCATAATGAATTTGTTTCTTCATTGCAGTCTTCCTAGGAAAGTTTATCTTACCAGTTACCTCTACAGCATTCATCACATTAGAAATAATTATGTATACAAAACAACTTGCGATTGAACTGTCTTTACTCATTATTATAGACTTTTTGTCTTATGGTAATCTAGGAAAATGAGTGCAGAAACAAAATTTGGTATCCTTCTAAATCTTTTTGTATATAAATTTATTTTCTATTTTTTCCCATGAGGGTCTGGAGAAATACAAAGTCAAGAGCAAGCTCACCAAGATGTAGACAAGTCAGATACTTCATCTTCCATCAAGCAGAAGGCCACCCATGATGGACACAAGAGGAAAGGGTAAGCACACTCTATCCATCTCTGAAATAAAGAATCTTTAGTGTTTTACGTCTGATGTGTCAGTGACCCAGAAGAAGTGACTCAACTAGGGTAACATTTTATCCTAGGGAAATGTAGTCTTAAATGCTTTCAACCTCATATAAATAATTTTACTGGCTGACCTGAACTTATAAGAGTTCTATTTCATTTGACTTATCTATTCTGGTGCCAAATGATTCCCATTACTTCTAGGGAGATTTTTGGTCAGAGCCAGTAATGACTATAAGCAGCTGATTAGAGCCTTTGCTTTCAAATGACACCGTCTTTCTCCTCTAACCTATCTGCTGATATATAAAACAACCTCAATTAAGACACCATTACTCAAACCTTCCATTCACACTTAAAATACAAGCTTTCTTAATGAAAAAAGTCACATTTGACCACTTCAACTTAGTTCAGAAGGCAAATATGCTTGTTGAGTACTGTAATAAGCAATGGGATATATGTCAGAGAACAGATGCAAGAAAGCCCTGGGAAATGGCAGTAAGGTGCCACAAAAAAATCAGAGGTCCCCCCCCCCGCCACCGCCAAAAACAAATGAAGACTGCACAGCAATGGTTCTAAGATGTGCCAAGTCTCATTATGCTCCATTCTTGGTGGCATTGCATTGTCCTCTCAGCAGAAACCAACATGAAATGCTGATCATGGCTGAGATTGTAGCTAGCTCTAAAAGAAGTGTGGACTTTTCCTATATTTTCAGTATTCTGAACTATGGGTGGGAATGAAATAAAAATGTGATTTGACTCAAACTCTCATGACTAACTCCATTGTTCATTAATTAGCAAAGGTAAACGCAAACAATATTCTAGAATTTCTTAAATTTCTATCTTAGACATTTAATCTTCCCTATCCTATTACACTCATTTACTCTTCAGGATTCCCACAGTGCCTTGTGCCTGTGTATCTCTTGTCATCTTGCCCTCTTACCGTTGTCCAATACACATACAATTAATGGTAAGCTGTTTAAATGCTGCCCCATTGGCTTCCTTGCTTTTGTGTTAAGGCATGTTACTAGTGCCTAACTTCTTTAAAGGAATCAATGGATTGATTGAATAAGAATCTCAGAGCTGTTAAGAGCTATAGTTTGCAGACCTGAGTTGAGGCAGCACAGGTTTAGGTCACACAACTAAGGAAGTTTAGATCTGGAAAACAATAACTGACAAACATAATGAGTCACAAAGATCCTGACTCATTCAAACCACTATAGCAGTGGAACTCAAAACTGACAGCTGTGTTTCTGCCTTTAAGGACTGTATCATCCAAAATGATGGTGTATCCTCATTATACTAAAAGCTTATATAAAAATATAAGATTACAACCTAAAGCTATCAAGTTCTCTCTAAATACAGCAATGTGTTAATAAGTCATAGAGATGACATAGGCAATCAATGACACATATTGAATAAAAAGATAATGGCTGCTCTGGGGTTACTACAAGAGTCACCAAGACACACACATCAGATTACAAGTGGAACATGACAAGGAGCTTGACAGATGGCTCAGGTTCAGGTTATCAAAAAGAAGAAGGGGTGATTCTGAGCAGAGGAGATACCTTAAGAAGTGCAGAGATGAGGGCCTGTGCCAGGTGGTTCTCCAAGCAGCTAAGATTTCTATGACAGTAAGCATAATTCTCACCCTGAATGTAATTTTCCAGTAGAATGAAAGTTCTGACACTTTGATGGTGATATTTTGCCAGGGTCCTTTGAAGCAGAGACAATTTAGCAGATTATATTAAGATTATGCCAGGATCTTTAGAATCCATGTGTTCACGTAGAACATTGTTGAATCTAAAATAAATGAAACAATCTCTCCCAGTATCATCTTCCTAAATAATACAGCTGTGATTTTGTTGTTGATTTTTAAATATTTTATTTATTATTTGGAAATTTCAAATCTTTACAGTGCATTTTGATTTTATTTACCCATATAGCCTCCCACCAACTCTCTCTGGGACTCACCAACCCATCTCCTTTTGTATTTCATGTGCTCTTTATGAAATTAATGTTATTATTAATAGACTCCTGATTCCAATTAGTGCCAACCATATTTAAATATATTTGGAACCAGCCATGTTTGGTGCACTCAACATTCTGGACCATGCCTTGAACTCTATTTCCTCAAAAGGTATTTTTGTTTAATTTCCAATTAACTACATGAAGTAGTAATGCAATCAGATTTCAGTCAGTGCAAGACCTTTCATTGTGTAAACTTCATTACCACAGGAAAAATGCCATGAAAGATATAAAGGTGGATTCCATCAAAGAATGTACACATTAGAGAGAGAGAGAAAGAGAAAGAGAGAGACAGAAACGGAGGGTCAGGTAAATGCAGAAGGGAGGGTGTATTGGTAACAAGTTGAGGGAGTGAACATAATCAAGACTAATCAGTATTACTTGTATGAAACTAATAAGAACTAACAAACAGTTTAAAAGCTGTGTCATTTTAAGTGTGGCTTAGTGATGCAAAACATGCTTCATAAGAACAAGAAATGAAAGTAAATAAAGTATAATTAAAAAAAAAGAACAAGAAATGATACATAGCATATTTCTTTCATTCCCCAGAGTCATTTTGGGTTCTATTCATGAGAAAGGTAGTCAGCATTCTAACAAAGCTGTGCTCTAAGTTGCCATCTTTGATTATCCCAGACTATCATTTCCTTTCTGTGCAAGCTATATGCAATTCCCTATTCTCAGCATGCTTGCGAAGAGTCCCAACCCAGAAAATGCTTCTCCCTCTCAGCTGGCACTGATTAGATTCCAAACTAGGCAGTTTTTTTTGCTTAGCAGGGGCAAGGATCTGGCTTATCAACAAGCAGTATGCTTGCTGCGGAACTAGAGGCACTGGCACCCAACTTCCTAGAAACCCTCAGACCTGCTCTTTTATTGAATAATCATTTATTTATTGAAGGAATATAAACCATTATTTTAGTATTCACTTTTGGTACTGGGGAATAAAAGCCTGGTCTCTGTTCTTCCTAAACGTGTTCTGTGTGTGTGCCTGGTGCCTGAGGTTGCAAGAAGAGGGTCTCAGAACTGGAGTTATGCACTGCCATGAGCCACCATGTGAAAGCTAAGAATTGAACTTAGGTCCTCCCAAAGAGCCATCAATGATATTAACTGCTGGGTCAGCTCTCCATCATCTCCTTTAGTTTTTTAACCCATCAAGACACATTTGTGTTATCTAGATATTCTTAGACATGTGGCCTTCCACCTGAGTGGGGTTGACTTATGAGAAAACTGACTCTGACTCTTCATAGACATTGGCAGTTGCTCTATGGGCATGGATAGGGTTTAGTGACAATATCCCTCACCAAATTGGGAATTGTCTGACTTTGGCCTGCCCATGTTGTTTTGTGCTGTCACAACTGCTGAGTCTGTATGTGCAGTTATCCTTCTGTGTCTAGAGTATATTGTTTCCATGTAGCTGTCCACCACTTCAAGATCTCACACCCTTTCTGTCCTGTCTTATGAAATGATACCTGAGCATTGGGAGGAGGGGTGCAGTGTATATGTTCCCTTTAGGGCTATGCATTCTGAAGTCTCATATTTTCTGTGTATTCCCCAGTCAAGGGTTTATGTTAATCACCATCTACTGCAAATAAAAGGTTCTCTGATGGGGTTGACAGATGCATTAGTCTATGGGTATAATAGGAAGCATTTTATTATCTTAGTATTGAATTCATATATTTGTTTTCAGTTTTCTTCTTAGCAAGTTCAGATCAGCAACCAGAGGAGAAATCAGAACTCCAAAACCTGAAAGTGGGAGGAGCTATAGCTTGGACTTAGACATTCAAAATCTTCAGAGTGTCAAGTCAGCCCCTGGTTCAAACAGGTAAGAGACATACAAAATGACCAATAAAACAGCCAAGGAATTGGGGTGATGTCTTTCCATCCATGTAGGGAGTCTACGTATTTGTAAAGTCTTGGCAAACAGAGAACACCTAACCTGTACTATAAAAGTTGTTTATCAGTTGTTGTAGGAAAACTCGATTTACAGATGTTAGAAACATTCGTGTCATCTGAAGGATGGAACCTTCTGTTTGGGGAGTTGGGACTATAGTTCAAATAGAGATGTACATGACAGATAATTCTTTCATTGATTTCTTGATTATTTTTCTTTCAACTTCTAAAACAACAACAACAAAACCCTAAGTGTCATATTCATTCCTGCAACTTTCAAAAAATATTAATAATTTTATCATGTGTTTTGATCCAGAGAATTTTTTTGTACTTCCATTTATTTTTTGTTTCACTGCCTCTGATTTCCAGATGGGTAAAGCAAGACTCTCTTGTGCATAGTGTCATCACTTGTCAGGAGAAGCAAAAGAAATAGAGAGGATGCCAAGGGCATAGTCACTTCTAATCAGTTTTGATTGTCTATCTTGTTTTGACATAATTGAGGCCTATTTTCTGTCTATCTTATTACTGTCAATGCTAATGGTAAGAAAAAAATTATCTGCTGTCATGGTATATTGTTTTATCTACATGTTCATTCCATTTTGGTGTTGGTTGCTCAGGCTGTAACAATCCCACTAGTATTTCCATTCTATTCTCCTTGGGTTCTATAAGCAGGATTTTCTTTTTCTTATAACACTGCCCTTTATTTCTCACTGTGGTGCTGAGTACCTGAGCACATCACATGTTGTAGTTTGCCAGAGAAGAGCCATTCTTTTGACTATTGAGGTTTTTTATTACTGTTATGATAAATGTTTATACTGGTTTTATATTTTTTCTCTCTGATTCCTCTACATGTTGCTAAATGTAAGACTGTAGAGAAAAAAAATATAAGAAATAATTTATTATCTACTATCACAGGATCAGGATTATATACCGAATTTTCCAGACTTTTAAGAATGCAGATAGATTCTGTGTGTGACTAAAATATAAGCAAAGTATTCTTTCCCTTGAAACAGTTTTGCTTCCCTTCCCTTTTCTGTTGCCTTCATTAACATTTTTTTTCTTCAAAACCTCAGTCTGGCATGCTATCAAATATTGGTTAAATCATTTTCCAGGATTATAAAGCACAAAGATTGCTGCAAGCTTCAGAATATCCTGAGCTACACAATGAGTAACAGAACAGCTGTGGCTGCATAGTAAGACCACATCTCAAAACTTCAAAATGAAAAAGAAAAAAATAAAAACCTCAGTTTTGGTTTTCCTTCTTGCTTCCCTTGTTTTGAGTAGACAAAAAAAGGCATTCAAGATGATAGGCACCTAGGTTAGAGTCAATCTCTTTTCAGTCTCTTTGGGACCCTGTGGTGGAGCTACCTTGTTTTATTTATTATTAATATATTTAAATTTACTATTATGTACATGTTATGGTGCTGCATATATGTCTAGGCACTGCATGCATGCCTGGTACCTATGGAGGCTAGAATAAAGCATTGGATTCCTGGGGACTGGAGTTATAGGGAGCTGTGGGCTGCCATATGGGTGCAGGAAATCAAATCTGAGTCCTCTGGGAGAGCAGCCATTGTCCTTAGCCTCTGAACCATCTCTCCAGTACCATCATATTGTTTTATACTTGAGGGTAACATTTTAAGAGGGACAGTTCAAAGGAGAAGAAAGAAGGAGCTCCTTGTTTAAAGAAAACAGGATCCCAGGCCTATCAAGCAAAATTAGATCATACTATTTTGAATTATTTGCCTTATATTAACTCATCAAGAAAGAGCAGCTTTCTGCCCATGATCAAGGTATTTATACTATTATTTCAGAATCACTATCCCTGGGTTTGTGTCTTTTGTCTTCTCTGTTGCTAGGCATGCACAATTGTAAAGCAGTAATAGCATATGGGCATGTTTCATCAAATACTGATGTTTTGACACAAGATGTTTTTGGAATTATAAACTGGAAGACAGACTATAAATAGACTTTAAACATATTTGTGTTTATTCTTTGGAAATTTCATACTTGCATACAACCCATTTTTATCATGTTCATTCCCACCATCCCCCTCCAGGGGGATGCCTCATTCATGTACCCAAAGAAGACTTTATCTTTTTTTTTCCCCAATTTTTTTTTTTTTTGGTTCTTTGGGGATTTCACACCATACACCACTATCACATTTGCTTCTCAGTCCTTCCTTGTCTAGCTCCCCACCCTTGTAACCTTCCCAACAGCAAAAATAAAGTCCAATTTATATTATCTCTGTACCCACCAGGGCAAGGTCAAACTCTCCATGGCATGCTTCCTAAATAGAGCTGAGTCATTCCCCTCCTGCATCCGTGCTGGAAGCCATCTATTGTGGAGGGCAAAACCCCAGCTTCCTATCAGTTTTCTTTTAGGTTGTGAATGCCTAAAATATTTGTACACAATCCAAATATTGTCATCAGAGTTGTTTGGCTTTAGCATGTCAAGAGCAATACTTTACTATTAAACAAATGAAAATGCTCAAGAGATTTATAGAGCAAACTGTCCTTTCCCTGGAACATGTACTGACCTTAGTGATGACTCATTAATGGATTGCCATAATGAGTTTCATTTTATTGTTCCAAGTGATTCCTTAAAAAAATTGAGGTGGGGGAAGCTACTTTTTTAACTATTATCTAAAGAAATTGTGAGATGCCCATCTCATTCATCTAGGACCTGACCCATCTTAGCATTTATAATTCATTTTTCTTGATAAAGCAAATTATTTCTTCATGGTTCATTGGTCTTTTCCTGGAGCAGCTGAGCTAAGACATTTCTTTTAAAAACTCACATTATATATGAGTGGAAATGATGTTTTATCAAGTACCTAAGTGATTTCTGTCTTTTCAGTAGTTTCAAAGCTGGAGAAACATGAAAGGAAAGATAGGAAATGCATAGCAACCTTTCAGGAGGTAATGACAAATGGTTATTCACTTTTTGATAGGGACTGGACATACTGAACAAAGTATGGTTTTTAAAAGACTGCAAAGGGTAGTTAGTTAATAAATGGGACCCTATGCACAGCAGCTATCCCAAATTCCTTCTAAGTTCTAATGAGTGGTCACTGTGCTCTATCATAGACATACCTTCAGACAAGGATTCATGTAACCAACCAATCAACTTAAATTTTTAAAATTTATTTTACGTGTATGGGTGTTTGGCCCAGGTATTTCTGTGCTTCACATGTGAGTCTGGTGCTCACCGAGGCCAGAAGAGGGCATCAGATTCTCTGAAACTGGAGGTACAAACTATTGTGAGCTGCCATGTGTGTGCTGGGGGATGAATATAGATTCTCTGGAAGAACAGCCAGTACTCTTAACTACTGAGCTATCTCTAGACTCTCAACAAACTAATTTTGAGAAAAAATGAGAAGGCAGCAGGAGAGGCAGAATAGAGAAGGGAAAAGCTAGATAATGATGTAGCTCAGGTAATGACTGAGTTTGAGAGACCCAGATACAGCCTTAGGAATAAAAACTATGTCTTGTCCATTTGCATTTGGAGGAGCCAGGCCTTTTTACTCTTATTCAAGTCAGTCAGTGACTATGGATTCCTCCATGCAGGGTTTCTTTACTAAATATAGATAAAAGGTATCCAGATAAATATGAATTTGAGATGAACAACATTTTTAGTATATGCATACACAATTTAACTAAGAATTTTGTATTTTATCTAAATTTTCTAGCATGTGGGTGAGAGGGAGAAAGAGTTCAAGGCCTTAATAGCTGCAGTGTCAATGGACAAATCTTAAAGACACAAAGTACAAAGCACCATTAGAAAGGCCCTTAAAATATGAAGAGTTATGTAGAACTAGTAATAGAATATGAGGGCTTAGGTGAGGTACCAGCAATGTCCCCTTAACATCAGAAGAAAAAAAAATAGAACACTGAGCCTGAAATGGGATGTTTAGTAGAAAATGGTTGGAGAAGAAAGCTGTATTTCTAGGCAGCATTTCTTTCATGTTACTGAAGGGTACGGTAAGCATTTCATGGTGAGCCCTTGCACACCATCGTGCTCACCCACTTTGTTATTCTTCCTTTTCAGTACCCCTACACACACTAAAATTATTCTTTAATTTTAATTGCTCTCCACAAGCCCCAGGCCTGATTGTCACGTTGTCTGTGAAGTTTCACAAGCTGCTTTGCCTGGCTCTGAACCAGAAACAGAGACCACACCACCAAATATGGCCCTTAGGTAACCTCATCCTAATTCCAAGCTCTGGTTTCTGTTTTACATGGTCTTCTAGAAACAGGGCACATTTGGTACCTTCATGATTAAAAAACAATTCTGTATTTCCATATTTATATTATTTAGGGAAATTAAGTTTATTAACTCTATCATATGATTTAATCCTGTCTCTACTTTCATTATAAGAAATATTATTTTATGTCCTAAGAAGGTCTTTTATTTCCCTCTTTGCAACTGAGATTTCAGGTAGGCAGCATCCCGATAATGGTATTATTCTATAGCCAGTTGGGAGTGTTCTAGCCTGGAGTTGCGATCAACACGGGTATATTCCCCATCCTTCTTTCTTTAGATGAAACGCTTTGGATGAGTTTGCTTGGCAAACCCTTTAAAAAAACAGGTTTTAAAAATTGTTTTCATGGGGAGGATCCAAGATCGTGGCACCGAGAGCACACCGTGTCTGATCAGCTGGGCACACAACCAACAGACCAAATTGTGGGCCCCAAAACACCAGCGATTTTGTTTCCCAGGTGCGAGGAAACCCCACGGTGTGGAAGCAATCAAGTCCAATCTCAGGAAACCCAGCTAACCCCCTGAACAGTTCCTGGGTTACCTACAGGCCCTAAGTCTCATGCCCAGAGACATAAGCCTGCATGCTCTGACCACCATCTTAGACTGAGCTGTGGGCCTTACAACAACAGAAACTGGGTTTCAAAGTAGGAAGAAACCCCACAGTGGAGG